TCTGCTATGGATCAGTGTGAGGACAGAGAGGAGGGAGTCCCTCCCTCTAAAAGCACTCTGTGTGGGGAACATGACACAAGGACCAAAGCTCAGAGGTGAGATGAGGATCTCTAACTGTCCATGACTCTTCTCCATGTCACAAAGGCTTTGATTCTCCATTTGAAACAAAGACATTTATCTGAGCTAAAGTACGTAGTTGTCAGTATTCAAACAGGGCTGGACAATCTGATCTCAAATCAGTATCAGGAGAAACATTCAGCTTCATAATGAGAAATGTAACAGTAACATGTGTTTGAATCAATCAGAGCAGATTTCCTTCCTCATGTTGCTCACTGCTGATGTTTGTCCTGATTCATTCCAGTCTGACCAGTTCCACATTCTGCTCTTCTGGACTGGACTGGGAGCTGATTGCTCTCTGGTTAGATGTTGTAGCTCAAAAATATAAGAAAATATGGAATCTCGAAGTATAAATATGGGACTTTTATTCTTCAATTTCTCCAAATTGGTGCAGTAAAAATGCTTGATATTAAGTATACTTGTAGTCTTAGATGTGTAGAAGTCAAATATACCATCCATAGCCAGGAATTATTGAGCAAAGTGTTTTTACAGTAGCTCAAATATATGAAAATATGCCACATGGAGGTACAAATATGGGACTTTTATTGTTGAATTTCTCCACATTGGTACAGTAAAAATGCTTGATATTAAGTATGCTTGTAGTCTCATATGTGTAAAAGTCAAATATACCATCAGTAGCCAGGAAACACTGAGCAATATGTTTTTACAGTACCTCAAATACGGTCAAATATGCAATCTCTGGAGGCATAAATATGAGGCTTTTATTTTGGCATTTCTCCACACTGGTGCAGTATACTTGATATAAAGTTTTTTTTATTCATCAGGGGCGCATGAAACACTTTAATGTAACATATTTTAATTATAGCTTACTGTTCTAAATACCTTTATTTTGAAAACCGGAAGTAAATACGGCGTTTCTCCGCATTTACCATAATGCTGAGAATACTTGTACACTCGAAATTTAAGTGCGGCTGATTTGACCACGGAGATCGGACTCACGGCTGGATTGACACAGTCTACTAGCCTACTGTTTCTTCTCCACAGCACCGTCCTGTAAATGACAACATCCGGTTTCAGAATATGAAAAAACAGGCCTTTTTTCCGTTTTTGTTTTCTAGTGATTTTATTTTTTGTTATATGAAATAGAAAATGAAAATCGAATATTTTTTTTAATTTCGCTCATCCCTTTTTGACCATGAAAAAGAAAAACGCCTTGTATTTCAATTTTAATTTTTGTATTTTAAAACGAAAATCAAATAACCACTCGTTTTCTGTTTTTTAATACCCGTTTCTGAAAGGAAAATCCAATGACCAAAAGATACACGGACCCTTTAATTATATGGAATTCAGACAGTGTGTTGAAGTGTGTGACATCAGTAAACTGTGTTCAGTAACACGTCCATAATGTCAGTAATTGAAGACATTGTTCTTATTGTCCAGCCCTGTATTCAAACATTTCTAATTATACATCATTTCACAAAGTCTTTGATTCAGTGAGAATGTTTCTGAATATGTGAGCTTTAATGAATTTCTTTCTATCAGGATCCATCAGAGACCAGACTGTCCTGAACCTGAACCCAGCTGTGTGTCCATGAAGAGTGATGACTCTATGTTTGAGCCTTTAGACTTCAAAGATGGCCACCACTCTGTTGATCAAAGGTGAGGATTACAAACTGATGGTAAAATAAAATGATGTGTTTTTATCAGACTCTCAGTTGTGAGATCTCCAGTTTTTCAACCTTTACTGACTCAGATGAAGTTCTCTGAGCACCAACACTCTTTCAGCAGCAGCTGCCTCACACTCACACAGTCAAACACATTCACACTGGGAGCTGCCCAGTACAACCAGTCTGATACAAGCAGACACTGAGCAGCTCCACTGCAGCAGCTGGAGGCTCTTGGTGCCTTGCTCCAGGGCACTTCAGCAGTGTACAGTGAGGGAGAGCTATATGGAGGGGTTGGTGAGAGCTGTTAGGACTGAACCAAACTGAGCTGTTGATTCTCAGTGGGATCAGCAGGACTAATAAACCTTTACCACTACAGGGAGTCATCAGATTCACTGTTCACATCCAAATATCACTTCATGGACCTTTACCTTGTGTTTGTCTCTGTGTGGACAGACATAATGTGAGCTCATTCTTCATGATTCCTCCACAGAGTGGACCAGGAGACCTCAGAGGTTCCCAGTGGTCAGTCTGCCCAGCAGCATCAAACACACCTGGACTCCATATTTATGGTCTGTACATGGACAACAACTACTTTTACATCTATTGTGTTCACAATAATCTCCATGCTGCACTTTTTAGACCAGTGGATTGTCAGTCTGTCCAACATGGATCTGATGTTTGCTTCCATGATTTGACTTTGATTGAGTCATTCATATAATATTCTGTTCCAGCTGCTGGAGGACAACATTGTCACTTTTGTGAAGAACGAGCTGAAGAAGATCCAGCAGGTTCTGAGTCCAGATTACCCAGAATGCTCTGAGAGTCAGAGGGAGGATGAGGAGGTGTTGGATGGTGAGGATGAAGAGCAGAGGAGGAGCAGCAGAGAGGCATTACTAAAGATCACAGTGCACTTCCTGAGGAGAATGAAGCAGGAGGAGCTGGCTGACTGTCTACAGAGCAGTAAGAGGATTTTAACAGATTGAACATGATGGAAAGAGGAAATGGAGGCAACATGGGAGAAGTTTACTTTTAAAACTCTGCTGATAATATGATGCACACATTGTATCAGATCTATGAATTCTTCTGGACTGAAAAAAGGAACTGTTCACAACTGATGAGCTGAAGAGATTTAACGGGGGAGGAAAATAAATACCATCTTGATGTGTTAAAGTTTACATCCATCAGATTTATTGGAGCTTCTACTTATTAACTACATTTCTTCTTTGTTCATTCAGGAACTGTTGCTGCAGCGTGCCGACGTGAACTTAAATCCAACCTGAAGAAGAAGTTCCAGTGTGTGTTTGAGGGGATTGCTAAAGCAGGAAACCCAACCCTTCTGAACCAGATCTACACAGAGCTCTACATCACAGAGGGAGGGACTGCAGAGGTCAATGATGAACATGAGGTCAGACAGATTGAAACAGCATCCAGGAAACCAGACAGACCAGAAACAACAATCAGACAAGAAGACATCTTTAAAGCCTCACCTGGAAGAGATGAACCAATCAGAACAGTGATGACAAAGGGAGTGGCTGGCATTGGGAAAACAGTTTTAACACAGAAGTTCACTCTGGACTGGGCTGAAGACAAAGCCAACAAGGACATACAGTTCACATTTCCATTCACTTTCAGAGAGCTGAATGTGCTGAAAGAGAAAAAGTACAGCTTGGTGGAACTTGTTCATCACTTCTTTACTGAAACCAAAGAAGCAGGAATCTGCAGGTTTGAAGAGTTCCAGGTTGTGTTCATCTTTGACGGTCTGGACGAGTGTCGACTTCCTCTGGACTTCCACAACACTGAGATCCTGACTGATGTTACAGAGTCCACCTCAGTGGGTGTGCTGCTGACAAACCTCATCAGGGGGAAACTGCTTCCCTCTGCTCGCCTCTGGATAACCACACGACCTGCAGCAGCCAATCAGATCCCTCCTCAGTGTGTTGACATTGTGACAGAGGTCAGAGGGTTCACTGACCCACAGAAGGAGGACTACTTCAGGAAGAGGTTCAGAGATCAGGAGCAGGCCAGTAGAATCATCTCCCACATCAAGACATCACGAAGCGTCCACATCATGTGCCACATCCCAGTCTTCTGCTGGATCACTGCTACAGTTCTGGAGGATGTGTTGAAGAACACAGAGGGAGGAGAGCTGCCCAAGACCCTGACTGAGATGTTCATCCACTTCTTGGTGGTTCAGTCCAAAGTGAAGACCATTAAGTATGATGGAGGAGCTGAGACAGATCCACACTGGAGTCCAGAGAGCAGGAAGATGATTGAGTCTCTGGGAAAACTGGCTTTTGAGCAGCTGCAGAAAGGCAACCTGATCTTCTATGAATCAGACCTGACAGAGTGTGGCATCGATATCAGAGCAGCCTCAGTGTACTCAGGAGTGTTCACACAGATCTTTAAAGAGGAGAAAGGACTGTACCAGGACAAGGTCTTTTGCTTCGTCCATCTGAGTGTTCAGGAGTTTCTGGCCGCTCTTCATGTCCATCAGACATTCATCAGCTCTGGAGTCAATCTGCTGGTAGAACAACAAACAACATCCCAGTTGTCTGAATTAAGTAAAGACAAAGAGAATCTAAAATATCTCCACCAGAGTGCAGTGGACAAGACCTTAGAGAGTCAACAAGGACACCTGGACTTGTTTCTACGCTTCCTACTGGGCCTTTCACTGCCGACCAATCAGAATCTCCTACGAGGTCTGCTGACACAGACAGGAAGTAGCTCACAGACCAATCAGAAAACAGTCCAGTACATCAAGAAGAAGATCAGTAAGAATCTCTCTGCAGAGAGAAGCATCAATCTGTTCCACTGTCTGAATGAACTGAATGATCGTTCTCTAGTGGATCAGATCCAACAGTCCCTGAGTTCAGGACGTCTCTCCACAGATAAACTGTCTCCTGCTCAGTGGTCAGCTCTGGGCTTCATCTTACTGTCATCAGAAAAAGATCTGGACGTGTTTGACCTGAAGAAATACTCTGCTTCAGAGAAGGCTCTTCTGAGGCTGCTGCCAGTGGTCAAAGCCTCCAACAAAGCTCTGTAAGTACAGAAATAGTTGGATGTCTGTATTATCACTTAAATACTCTGCTATCTTTTCGACTTAGAGAGATTATAAAGACATTATATATCACCAACATTGGGAACTCCTCACTAGCTGATATGATTTTTACAGAACTAGTGTTTTTGGTTTTGGCTGAGTGATAAAGTGCTGGTCACAAATGTTATTTTTATTATTATTGATCATTGTCTCTACAGACTGAGTGGCTGTAACCTCTCAGAGAGAAGCTGTGAAGCTCTGTCCTCAGTTCTCAGCTCCCAGTCCTCTAGTCTGAGAGAGCTGGACCTGAGTAACAACAACCTGCAGGATTCAGGACTGAAGCTTCTTTCTTTTGGACTGGAGAGTCCACACTGTAAACTGGAAACTCTCAGGTCAGGATTCGTCAACCTGTTCAACTGATAACTACATTAAACCTGAATTATGTTGATGGATACAATTGTAATCTTCCTAACATTGTCTCAAATCATTGTGTGTTGTTCTGTGTGTTTGCAGGCTATCAGGCTGTCTGATCACAGAGGAAGGTTGTGCTTCTCTGGTCTCAGCTCTGAGCTCCAACCCCTCCCATCTGAGAGAGCTGGACCTGAGTTACAATCATCCAGGAGACTCAGCAACAAAGCTGTCTGCTGCACTGGAGGATCCACACTGGAGACTGGACACTCTCAGGTATGAGGCGGATCAATACAGTAGTAGTAGTCAGGTGACAGAGGAAAGGTGATGAAATTTCTGTTTTTCTGGACCGATGTCTTGTTTCAACATTGGAAAATAGGACAGTGGTTTATCCTGATGGGTTGGTGAGCATCATGGCGGGTTGATATTTGTCAACCGGATTCTGAGAGGATTAAAAAGAGAAACGGAGACGTAAAAGAGAGATAGAGAGACGCTCATCCGCTACGCCTGGTTCTGCTCCATCATACATTTTATCCCGCTCCACTCACCACTCCGCTCAAAAAAAAAAACCGACTTCAACAATGTCGCCTTTTTCTTGTTCCACATTATCCCCATCTGTTACTTTTACAGGAATAGCAGACTTGTACGACTTCTGTGGGTGTCACGTGCAGGTGCAAAGACTGGAGCGACCTTTAAAAAAATTGCCGCTCAACACAAAATCCTTTTGCTCCCCGCTCCGCTCATATGCTCTGACAGGGACAAACATTAGTTTCACAACTTTGATCATCCGCCACTGGACAGAGGTTGTGAACTAAACAAACAACGTTGCTATCCAGTGTGCGTGTAATCAAAAAGGATGGAGATGGAGAGTGTTATTTTGATCGTGTGTTCTTTGCATAATGGATGTGGAGAACTGTTCAATAACGTTTAAATAGTCAGAGATTATTTCCTTGTGGTTTGCGTAAAAGGATTTTGGAGCTAATAGAGTCGCGTGTGACATAAACGTAGATGGTGCAGTGACTCAGGTTCATGCCAGCTGAACAAATCTATTGCATTGTTATAGCGTTATTGTGAAGTTTAATTAATAGCGCATATATTCATCTGAGAACTGATGATGTCTGTGTGTTACAGACCCTGGCTGTGTGCACTGAAGTGTATATGACAATAAAGTAGTGAATCTCAATCTATTTATTTATTTTTAAAATGTATTTTAAATAGGCCTATAGGCTCATAGGTTTTTTGTCCAAAAATACCAAAATTTTTTTCACAGCCCCCCTTGTTTAAAATTAGAAGTTTATTTAAATCAAACAGTTAACTGCCAGTGGTCAAAGCCTCCAACAAAGCTCTGTAAGTACAATACAATACTCTGCTATCTTTTCGACTTAGAGAGATTATAAAGACATTATATATCACCAACATTGGGAACTCCTCACTAGCTGATATCATTTTTATAGAACTAATTTAAAGTGTTTTTGGTTTTGGCTGAGTGATAGTGCTGGTCACAAATGTTATTTTTCTTATTGTTGATCATTGTCTCTACAGACTGAGTGGCTGTAACCTCTCAGAGAGAAGCTGTGAAGCTCTGTCCTCAGTTCTCAGCTCCCAGTCCTCTAGTCTGAGAGAGCTGGACCTGAGTAACAACAACCTGCAGGATTCAGGACTGAAGCTGCTTTCTGTTGGACTGAAGAGTCCACACTGTAAACTGGAAACTCTCAGGTCAGGATTCGTCAACCTGTTCAACTGATAACCACTTTAAACCTGAATTATGTTGATGGATACAATTGTAATCTTCCTAACATTGTTTTGTTTATTTAGTTTGAGTCTATTTCCTTGAACATGTTTGTTATGTAATGTGTTTGTAGCACCCAAACACTCAGTAAATGCTTAAGTTAAAGTAACTCACCCTGGACTTAAATGATGGGGTGTTGGGGTTTGATTTATTAAGGTAGGTACCACGAAGGTTTACCTGTTTTGTGTGAAACTTTTTATTGCCTAATACTTTATGAATAACCAACAACTTTGTTAGACTAAGCAGTGGCTCTATTCACACGTACTCTACATTATTTTAAATAACTGACCCCAGACAACTCTTTCAAATAAATGAAATAATAGTTAACCAACCAGTTGTTTTCCAGTTTAACACAAATAATATTTACTTTGTTCGTTAACAGATGAACAAAAATGAAATAACACAATTACTCAAATTAGACTTCTTTAAAATAAAAATATTATAGTTGTAAACAAAATGACCTTTACCAAACTTGGCAAAACGCTGTAGAAAAATAGACAGTTATAATAAGCAAAATAGAATTGGCAATATCAAAATACTATTCAAAATTCAAATAATTCCAGGTCTCCGGTAAAATTCCTAGTTCTTACCCCTTAATATGATTTCTCTATACTTATCAAACTCAGATCAAATATGCTACTTAACTGAACTTTAAACAAAACAGTGGGCCCACACACACGCACACGTACGCGCACACACACACACACACACTCTCTCTCTCTCTCTCACACACGCACACAAAAACAAAAAAGGCCTGTGTGTTGCTCGGTGCGGTGCGTCAGGCAAATCCTTATCCTCAGTGACAATTAAGAGTCACATAGAAAATCCAACTCACGGTCTGGAGTCCTGGAGGAACAGTTAATGAAGAGATGGAGATGAAAGCCAACGGCAGCAGAAGTAAAGTCCTCCTCGGGAAGCACGAAACAGTCCCTCCCGTTCAGCAATGGCGTCCTCTTGGTTCGATTCTCCCGCCCCTTTTTAACTCACTCCCTTACCTACGGCCAATTACCAACAGGTGACATTGAGTGATAACTACAGCAACCAATCAAATGAAACAGCATGAACCAATGACACAAATCTGAAAATTCATGTTTAGTTTACCACACACTTTTCTTCAGCTACTATACAGAACAGTTTAATGTAACTACTTAATGAACTATTTACACTCTACTTTATTTATTATGAATTTATGTTAATCTATCGGTTAACATTTCATCTTTCACTGCTTTTAACCTAAATTGCTTTCAGTTTATTTGCATTACTGAATTATTTAATTAATTCACTGAAACAATTATTTGTATTACAAATTAACTTGTTTTAACCCCTGTACTTTTACACCGGACTACATGTTGTTCTGTGTGTTTGCAGGCTGTCAGGCTGTCTGATCACAGAGGAAGGTTGTGCTTCTCTGGTCTCAGCTCTGAGCTCCAACCCCTCCCATCTGAGAGAGCTGGACCTGAGTAACAACAACCTGCAGGATTCAGGACTGAAGCTGCTTTCTGAGGGACTGAAGAGTCCACACTGTAAACTGGAAACTCTCAGGTCAGGATTCGTCAACCTGTTCAACTGATAACTACATTAAACCTGAATTATGTTGATGGATACAATTGTAATCTTCCTAACATTGTTTTGTTTATTTAGTTTGAGTCTCTTTCCTTGAACATGTTTATTATGTAATGTGTTTGTAGCACCCCAACACTCAGTAAATGCTTAAGTTAAAGCAACTCACCTTGGACTTGAATGATGGGGTGTTGGGGTTCGATTTATTAAGGTAGCTACCACGAAGGTTTACCTGTTTTGTGTGAAACTTTTTATGGCCTAATACTTTATGAATAACCAACAACTTTGTTAGACTAAGCAGTGGCTCTATTCACACGTACTCTACACTATTTTAAATAACTGACCCCAGACAACTCTTTCAAATAAATGAAATAATAGTTAACTAACCAGTTGTTTTCCAGTTTAACACAAATAATATTTACTTTGTTAGTTAACAGATATTAAAAATGAAATGACACAATTACTCAAATTTGTCTTCTTTAAAATAAAAATATTATAGTTGTAAACAAAATACCCTTTACCAAAATTGGCAAAACACTGTAGAAAAATAGACACTTATAATAAGCAAAATAGAATTGGCAATATCAAAATACTATTCAAAATTCAAATAATTCCAGGTCTCCGGTAAAATTCCTAGTTCTTACCCCTTAATACGATTTCTCTATACTTATCAAACTCAGATCAAATATGCTACTTAACTGAACTCTAACAAAACAGTGGGCCCACACACACACACACACACACACACACACACACACACACACACACACACACACACACACAAAAAAAAAGGCCTGTGTGTTGCTCGGTGCGGTGCGGCAGGCAAATCTTTATCCTCAGTGACAATTAACAGTCACAAAGAAAATCCAACTCATGGTCTGGAATAAGTCCTGGAGAAACAGTTAATGAAGAGATGAAGATAAAAGCCAACGGCAGCAGAAGTAAAGTCCTCCTCAGGAAGCGTGAAACAGTCCTTCCCGTTCAGCAATGCCGTCCTCTTGGCTCGATTCTCCCACCCCTTTTTCGTTCACTCCTTACCTATGGCCAATTACCAACAGGTGACATTGAGTGATAACTACAGCAACCAATCAAATGAAACAGCATGAACCAATGACACAAATCTGAAAATTCATGTTTAGTTCACCACACACTTTTCTTCAGCTACTATACAGAACAGTTTAATGTCTTTCACTGCTTTTAACCTAAATTGCTCTCAGTTTATTTGCAATACTGAATTATTTAATTAATTCACTGAAACAATTATATGTATTACAAATTAACTTGTTTTAACCCCCTGTACTTTTACACCGGACTACATGTTGTTTTGTGTGTTTTTCAGGCTGTCAGGCTGTCTGATCACAGAGGAAGGTTGTGCTTCTCTGGTCTCAGCTCTGAGCTCCAACCCCTCCCATCTGAGAGAGCTGGACCTGAGTTACAATCATCCAGGAGACTCAGTAACAAAGCTGTCTGCTGCACTGGAGGATCCACACTGGAGACTGGACACTCTCAGGTATGAGGCGGGTCAATACAGTAGTAGTAGTCAGGTGACAGAGGAAAGGTGATGAAATTTCTGTTTTTCTGGACCGATGTCTTGTTTCGACATTGGAAAATAGGACAGTGGTTTATCCTGATGGGTTGGTGAGCATCATGGCGGGTTGATATTTGTCAATGTTGTCACGCTGCAGGTTTGTGGGCTCATATCATAAATAGTTTGGGATATTTTGATGGATGTCATCTGCCATCAGCGTGTGTTACCTTTTAGTCCAGAAAAACTAAAGGCGTCACCTAAACTACAATTCAGTTCAGTTCAGTTCAGTTTTATTTGTATGTCACCAATTCATAACAGAAGTTATCTCAGGACAGTTTTCAAATAGAGCAGGTCTAGACCGAACTCCTTATAACATTATTTACAGAGACCCAACAGTTCCCACCATGAGCAAGACCTTGGAGACAGCGGCAAGGAAAAACTTCCTTTTTCACCATGACAGAGAGACAGACAGAGACAGACAGAGAGAGAGACAGACCAGAAATGACTAATGATGATGAACATGAAGAAGATGATGACAACGACAACAACGGTGGACAATAATAATAGTAACTATAATAATGATTATAATAATAATAATAATAATAATAATCATATCAGTAATTTTGAGGCTCCACCAGGATCGATGAGAACCTGCGAGACGAGAAAGCACAAGAACTCCGGGGAAGAAGTGAAGTTAGTAACATGCATTAATGGGACATGAATGAGTGCAGAAAGAGAGAGGAAGAGAGGAGTTCAGTGCATCATGGGAAATCCCCCGATAGTGTAGGCCTATAGCAGCATAACTAAGGGATGGTTCAGGACTCACCTGATCCAGCCCTAACTATAAGCTTTATCAAAGAGGAATGTCTTAAGCCTACTCTTGAATGTGGAGAGGGTGTCTGCCTCCAGAACCACAACTGGAAGCTGGTTCCACAGGAGAGGAGCTTGGTAACTGAAGGCTCTGGCTCCTGTTCTACTTTTAGAGACTATAGGAACCACAAGTAGCCCAGCATTCAGAGAACGTAGTGTTCTAGAGGGGTAATAGGGTACTATGAGCTCTTTAAGATATGAAGGGGCCTGACCATGAAGAGCTTTGTAGGTGAGGAGGAGGATTTTAAATTCTATTCTAAATTACTACTGATGTGAGATCAGTTGTGTTTAATGCAGGGAAATGTATATTTGCTATGTTTTTTAGAAGATATTGAATTTTCCTGTGTTCTGAGCAGTCCTTGAACACCTCCTGCCGTATGTTTTGTTGTTTATTAGAGTATTCAGGTGTCAACCTGTCATTGTCCAATCAGGGTCTATTAGAGATGAGTATGAGGAAACCTACCGGATTCTGAGAGGATTAAAAAGAGAAACGGAGACGTAAAAGAGATAGAGAGACGCTCATCCGCTACGCCTGGTTCTGCTCCATCATACATTTTATCCCACTCCACTCACCACTCCGCTCAAAAAAAAAACGACTTCAACAATGTCGCCTTTTTCTTGTTCCACATTATCCCCATCTGTTACTTTTACAGGAATAGCACACTTGTACGACTTCTCAGTTTCTTTTCTGAAGTACACATTAAACTCCATAGTTTTGAAAGAAAATAGTGTGGGTGTGCGCGTGCAGGTGCAAAGACTGGAGCGACCTTTAAAAAAATTGCCGCTCAACACAAAATCCTTTTGCTCCCCGCTCCGCTCATATGCTCTGACAGGGACTAACGTTAGTTTCACAACTTTGATCATCCGCCACTGGACAGAGGTTGTGAACTAAACAAACAACGTTGCTATCCAGTGTGCGTGTAATCAAAAAGGATGGAGATGGAGAGTGTTATTTTGATTGTGTGTTCTTTGCGTAATGGATGTGGAGAACTGTTCAATAACTTTTAAATAGTCAGAGATTATTTCCTTGTGGTTTGCGTAAAAGGATTTTGGAGCTAATAGAGTCGCGTGTGACATAAACGTAGATGGTGCAGTGACTCAGGTTCATGCCAGCTGAACAAATCTATTGCATTGTTATAGCGTTATTGTGAAGTTTAATTAATAGCGCATATATTCATCTGAGAACTGATGATGTCTGTGTGTTACAGACCCTGGCTGTGTGCACTGAAGTGTATATGACAATAAAGTAGTGAATCTCAATCTATTTATTTATTTTTAACATTTATTTTAAATAGGCCTATAGGCTCATAGGTTTTTTGTCCAAAAATACCAAACAATTTTTTCACAGCACCCCCTGTTCAAAATGACTTCCAGCGTCCCTGGGGTACGAATTAGAGTTAGATTAGAGTAGCAAAATTCAACTGCTCTTAACTCATCCTATAGAATAACATTTATCAGTCATCAGCTCATCATCTGTGTCACCTGTATTGTTACCTGTGTTTGCTTTACTAATTGAGGCGCCATCTTGTGGTTACATAAAAACACAGCAATCCAGGCAACAGAACAGAAAAACTAAAGGCGTCACCTAAACAACAATTCAGTTCAATGTCACCAATTCATAACAGAAGTAATTACTGCACTCAGGTTCAACTCAAGGAGTGAGTAAATGTAAATAATAATGTAAAAAGGTAAACACAATTTCACAATCAACAAAAAGTAGAATCACAGTTCAGATTCATTCCAATATATAAAAGAAATAAAAGAACTGAAAGTGAAAGTGTTTCTTTACAGCTTATTGCTGTCTGATATCAATTTTGGTCAAAGTCCAGTCCAAAAGCTTAGTGTGTGTCCATGTCCGTCCAAGTGTATTCAATGTGTATGTGCTACCCGGGTAGAATGTGTGTGTTTGTTTGTACGCTTGCTCAGATCTTATCTTCAGGAAGATGATGAAGATGGAGAATTCCAGATACTCTCTAACCCTGCCTCGCATCCCACAGGAAACCCAGAATGTAGATCCAGCAACTCAAAAAAACCAATTATCTCTCATCAATTACTGTACAGTATCATATCTCTCTTTAACTCAAGTGTAACTTATAACAAAAGCAATGATGAACTATATCCTGAGACCTTAAAAGCTTAGACATCATTGTGTTTTGTTTCCTTTTTACCCGTATTAATAAATCATGTTACACAACTTATCTCTTATCTCTAATCAATCATGTCTCTCATTCATATTCACCCTTATGTATTTTTAATCATCTCAACATGAACTGAAACACATTATTTATATCAGGAAAAACCCATATGTATACAAATCTCTTACCAATTCACCTCCCATGTTAAACTGTTTAAAGGTAATCAATGTAAACATTCTGTTACAAATATAATACTGATAATAATAATATATCATCAATAAGTGAAAATAATGAGCTGTAGCCATCGGCCAATAAGAAGAAGCTCCACTGAACTGAAAGACTATCAGCTGATTAATAATAAGTGCTCCATGTGAAGATGTAAGTCCATTTGTAGAGAATAAGCTCTGTGTATGAGAGCGATGTAATGTCCATGTTTCCATGCTGCTCTGACCCCCCCTCCTCCTTTCAGGGTGGAGCCTGCTGGAGTCCGATGGTTGAGACCAGGTCTGAGGAAGTGTAAGTGTGAAAACAAAGCAGCACACATTCAACCATCTTCACACTGTGACATCACTCATTCACAGCTCTGATGTCATCATCAAAGTGTCAATCAATGATCAGATGATAGATCAATAACTGCAGCTGTATTGTGTCTTGTTCTCTCCATCAGATTCCTGTGAACTCACAGTCGACACAAACACAGTGAGCAGAAACATCAAACTGTCTGACAACAACAGGAAGATGATTCATGTGAAGGAGGTTCAGTTATATCCTGATCATCCAGACAGATTTGACTTCTGGCGTCAGCTGCTGTGTAGAAATGGTCTGACTGGTCGCTGTTACTGGGAGGTCGAGTGGAGAGGAAGAGTTTATATATCAGTGAGTTACAGAGGAATCAGCAGGAGAGGAAACAGTGAAGACTGTGTGTTTGGATACAATGATCAGTCCTGGAGTCTGTTCTGCTCTGATGATGGTTACTATGTCTATCACAATAACATAAAAACATCCATCTCCTCCTCCTCCTCCTCCTCTGGTAGAGTAGCAGTGTATGTGGACTGTCCTGCTGGCACTCTGTCCTTCTACACAGTCTCCTCTGACACACTGATCCACCTCCACACCTTCAACACCACATTCACTGAACCTCTTTATCCTGGGTTCGGGTTCGGGTTCTGGTCTGGTTCCTCAGTGTCTCTGTGTCCTCTGTAGGAGGGAGAGAGAAACTTTCTCACTGCTGACCAGATAGTTCAGTCTGTACAGGATCACACACAGCTGATGTTAGTTAGTACCAACCTGATGTGTTTACTGTAATAGAGGAGGAAGAGGAGGCTGAAGGAAGAGAAGAGCAAAGGATGCTGGGATGAAGGGATCATGTGTGAGGGTAATGTGCAGCCTGCAGACGTAGAGATGAAAGAAATGATAGAAAGAATTGATCTTCTTCTATAACTCTGAGAAAAATGAACATTTTTAGGATCAAATGTGGCTGCTTGTTTTTCAAATCTTCTTTTTGAAAGCACAGTTAGAGGGAAAGTGTTTTTATGACTCAAATATTAAAGTGTGAACAAATATTCAACTTTGAGTCTAAAACTGAACTTTGTTGCCTTAAAACTTTTGTTTCTGTGAAGAACAAATGCTAATGTTAGCTTGTCAGCAGCTGCAGGTGTTTGCCCTCGCTCCCCGACTAACGTTACTACCGTTACTAACGTTACCGACCCGCCGCTACCAAACAAAGACACATACTCTCCACTAGAGCCGCTGACTGCTCGCTCAACGTCCCAAACAGAGAAGATCACAACAATAGCATTTCTTCATAAACCACCCTTGTTCGTCTTCATACAATATGTTGGGAAGTTGCAGTAAATATCAATACAATATGTTCTATATCCCTTTGTGTTGTGTCTCTCCTTCGTCTGTTAAGATAACTGAACATGTTGTGAGTCTCGAGGCATTGTCAGCCTTTATATCTCATTTGTAAATGCTTAATAAGCCATAGATAGTGCTCACTTTAGATCAGCTCGTGCAAAATACTTAATTAAGGAGTAGTAAGTGCTTTGTAACTGTGAATTCCTGCATTAATCACTGTTTATAGGCCATCATTAGAAAATGAATTTGTTGTGAGTTTTATAGAACATCTGCTAACACAGTCACTAATCATTAATACATGTCTGAATAGTGGATGTGCAAGTGCATGCAGAAATGTACAGTACAATGGAGAGTAAAACATTTATAACTGTGATTATAAACCACATAGTAATGACTATTTACAGCAGAATCATGCTTTATAAATGATGGATTCAGTATTTACTAATCCATAACTAATGTGCTTATCAATGATGAATAAAACATGTATAACTGTGTTTATAAACTACATACTAATGTGTATTCATGCGTTATAAATGATGATTTCAGTATTTATTCATGCTTAACTAATGCTTAATAGTGTGTACTCGTTATAAAGTGTTACCAAATTATCTTATATCCAGCAAAAACATCTGTCAATGGGGTAAGCTTTTTTTACTTGACAAGAATTCTTAAAATAAGCACAAAGTTCTTCCTCTGACAGACTAAAATGGGCCTTAAAACTAGACAGAAAATCTTAAATTTAAGTAAATTTTTCTATAAAAAGCAATGAAAAACCAGAAAACCCAGATTAAGTTACTTAAAATTAGAATTTTGGTCTCTTGACTGAGTTAATTTTAAGAAATGACAGCTTAATCTGGGATTAATAACAAGTATAAAAGTAGTTAAAATAAGACACAATTTCTTCAAATAGCATTAAAAAAATAAGTGACTTTGTCTTAAATCAAGACACCAAAACATTCTCATTTTTAATATTTTTTATTCACTTTGCAATACAATTGCTTAATTAAACATCCATCAAAAAACATAATGTTATATCTGCTATTATTGCAGCATACTATAACAATTATTACAACTTTGCAGCTGCTGTTATTGCACATTATCCCACAGGAAAAGTTTTCAGTTTCACCAACAAATGTGGCTAACAGTGATAAACCTTACATTAAACAGAACTTTGACTTTCTTGGAAAGTCTTACATGAGATAGAGAGTGAGGCGGTGTCAAGAAACAACCACAAAAGAAACAAAGAGACTCACTCACTCACTCAATGAAGGACTTCCACTCGCCAATGGCTTTTTTGTAGGAAGGGGTCAAATCTTGCTCATGAATGGAATCTTGGAGAATTTGTGTTTGCAGTACTGACAGAAGTGTGGAAATACACTTTGGGTAAGTGAGGTGCAGGGCATAGTAATATGCCATGAGGTAGAGCAGTCCCTCATCAAACCTCTCAATGTTGAAGGTGGTCACTGGCATGTTTCCAATGGCGATCATGCAGTTGTCCTCAGAAACAAGCACGACTGGGCAAGACAGTGGTCGCTGGCGCAGGAAACCATCAGGATCCTCTGAAGTCTAGATGACACAAATCAATGTAGAGGATTAGAAAAACATCACAAGTAACACACACTTTGACCTGGACTAGGATATTGGTGAAATCATAATTGTACTTATATATACGTAAACATATAGTCACAATAATCCCTGAGAGGGAGAAGATGTTGTACTGTCATTGTTGAGTGCTGCAAATACTGAATGCACCACAGCTACTGTAGTTCAAATGAAGTTAGTATTACAACTACACTATGGAGAACACTTACCCTTTGGACCTTTTGAAATAATAAAAAGTTTATCTCAAAGTAACTAAACCTGACATAAAATGTATGCGTGAATAACGGAAACATATAGTATGAAATATTGCAGTAAGTCTGTAAACCTCACCGTAAGGACATGGAAAAGAGCCTCGCTGCTTAAGCCCAGCTTCTTAGGTGGCATGGTGCTGGACGGGAAGAGCAGTGGCAGGGCTCGGAACAGGAGTAGCATCCACCTATAATACATTTACACAAACATTTTTTTGAAAAACATTATCTTTTAGTGGATTAAAAAAAAACTTGAAAAAAGCAAGTTGGACTGTTGAAAGGGACTCAAAGCAGAAACGTCTAAAATAATGAAATATTATGTATATGGACCGGAATTGAAGTTACTTAACATTTCTGTGATATTGGAAAATCTGTTGTACTGTTAAACAGTTCTGTCATACTGTGAAAGACCTTACCTTTTCATCTTTATTCACAGGAAGCCATATAGCCCGGCGCCTCACCAAATGTTCAGGACCAGGAAACAGATCTTTGATGTCATCACGGGAAAGTGAAGGTAGTAAGTCTTCTGCAATATTAGCAGCTGCAATATAGACAAGTTACAGTCATTACCAAGAAACTGATGTTATCATTGAATTCCTACAGATTTAAACATCGCAGATATTTTGCCAACTCAACACCCTGACACCTCTTGTACAGTTAGCATTGTTTGGACAGTTTGCTCAGTCTTGCTACACACTACCATTTTACTTCAAGAGCAGTGAGTGAATTTGACAGCATTTATAAATTAGATATATCTATATTCAAGCCATGCAAACTACAGTAAGCGTGAGTATAGAGCCTTGCTAGATAAAATGCATTCACATTTCACATTAATGCTTGATAGAGAATGACTATTGTTTTTGAATTTTACTTAAATACATTATACATACAAGTATTTGCTATAGCACTTTTAAACAAACATGTTACAGATTTAATAAATAGCACTCAGGCACTTTGGACTGATGTACATATGAGACAAACACAATCAAAATCAGAGTGATGTGCTTTACAGCTGATGTTTTACAAACCACCAGGTGTTACTGTATTTTCAGCATTTACAGCCCTTAATAATAAGAAAATAAAACAAAAGTCCCAAAGCCCAATTAGACTTCACATATTTTTAGAGGGGGCCCTACCAAGTACTAGCTCGTTTTTATGTCACAGCCCATTACAACTCGTTAATCTAGGTTAGCTACGTTAGCTAATATAACATCAGTACGACATAAAGAAACCCTGGTAGCATAGCTTTGAGTGTGGCAATTGAAACATCGTCCAGTTTATCCATAATTCGGCTCCACTGATATCCACATACGACACTTTCAAATGAGGAATTCACAGCAGCGGAACACGCACGCGCGGTTATTTTCAAAATGCAACGGACTTCAGGAGGGAAAAAAAGAGCGCAAAACGGTGGATTGTACCATCTGCACAGAGGGAGCGGGGGTGGGAATAAGTTTATTTTGCATTTATACAAAGTATATTTATCTAAATAAGTTCATATTAACTTATAACTATTAAAATCAAGTCACATCTACGTGATCATTAATAAATAGAAGGTCGTTTCTGTCCTTATAAGGCACGGATTTATGCTACGTACCCTTGGTATCACATGATGTATCACCTGGTCATCTTGGGTTCAAGGCAAAAGAGGCAATAGCGGTACACGGCAGCGAGCTAATGTAGGCTAAAAACAGGTTGAATCAAAACATTGTTTTTTCAAACAGTGGGCCTCAAAATGAAATCTTAGAATTGTTTGCAAGTCTTTAATAAGGCATAATCAAATGTATGAATGTTGTCAAAATGTAAGTCATTCTTTTTTAAATGAGTGTGCATTGGGACCAACATCAGAAATATGCAGCATGTCATATTTAAAAGAAAAAAATGAGGGCTTTCTTTGGAAATGATGACATAAACAATGCAGTGTCTGTTAAATGGATTCATCTAAAAGGTAATAAATATATACGGGAGAAGACATTTGTGACTGCTGTTAATGCCAGTGATTTACCTGAATTTGGACTTGTGAGCAATATCTATGTAATTAACTCATCATTATATTGTTTTGAGTTCCAGCAGCATAATACTGTTTGTTATGATAGAAATTACATGGCATATACAATAGAGATTCCAAACATGGCACAAGCAAATGAAATAATAACGGCTGATAGTCTGGTAGATTTCACTCCATATTACAGTTATACTCACAAGGATGTGACATATGTTCCTACGAAATATTATCTGGGAGATGTGCTTAGGCTACACAGAGCCTCATCTGATGAACTGTAAAAGGCACACTGTTTAATGTGTTGGCCTCTCATAGACAAACTGTTTCCTGACTGTTGTTTGTTTCATGATTGTTTCTATCTTTTCATGTATCAAAATAACTTTAATCTGAATGATAAAACAGCAGATCAGCAATCAGAAAGGAAATGGAAAATTTTGATTTAAATTTAAATTAGAATATCGCTCAATTTGGCGAAATAATCTTAAAACCTATAGAAAGGCCCTCCGTAATGCCAGAGGAGCCTATTATTCAGCACTAATAGAAGAAAATAAGAACAACCCTAGGTTCCTCTTCAGCACTGTAGCCAGGCTGACAGAGAGTCACAGCTCTATTCAATTCAATTCAGTTCAGTTCAATTCAATTTTATTTGTATGTCACCAATTCATAACAGAAGTTATCTGAGGACACTTTTCAAATAGAGCAGGTCTAGACAGAACTCCTTATAACATTATTTACAGAGACCCAACAGTTCCCACCATGAGCAAGACCTTGGAGACAGCGGCAAGGAAAAACTTCCTTTTAAGAGGCAGAAACAGAGGTAACAACAGAAAGACAGAGACAAAAGTGCACAGCAACAACGATGGGGGACAATGAGCAATGATAATAGTAATAATAGTATCTGTAGTAATAATAATATTAATAATAATAATAACAATTAACAGTTATTATTACACATTATGTTTGTCAATACCTTTGACTTAGATATAGATCAGATCACATTTTATGACAAATTTATTCAGAAAACAATGAAATTCCAAAAGGTTCACATACTTTTTCTTGCCACAGATTTTATAATTTTTTTTATGCCCTTTTTGTCATAAGATGTCATGTGTACTGTCATGTGTGTGTGTTCACAATTCAAGGCATAAACCACTGATCACTGTGAGGTGCATTTTATATGCATGTGCTACACATTTGGCACACTTTTGTCCTCCTCTTCCTCCTCCTGACCATGGACCTGGCTTTGGGCTTGTAGGATACATGTTAAAGACAGCAGCTGCTCTGTGAGGGCCACTGTGAGGAGACAGGAAGTAAGAAGAAACAAAAGAATCTGTTATCATTTAAGTTCTGTCTCTTTATGCTTGTACAACTCCAAAAAGGTCAAAATAAATTCTAAACTGGTCTAAAACACCTTCATGTAGCTCTGTTCTGGTCTGCTGGGTTGTGTTGTACCACAGCATGTTTTTAAACCTCTAAGAATCAGATCATGTACTAGATTAAGTCTTATTTCTAATTCCCTTATTTCATATAAGCTGAATTAAAGGAATAACAAAGTGCTGAGGGACAAATAACAATAATAATAATAATAATAAATGCTTTATTTTTGGATAGGGACAGTGCACATTAATTGACATCGATATTTAAACATCTCTGTA